GAGACAGAGAGCATGAGAGGGAGGAGGGTCAGAGGGAGAAGCAGACTCCCTGCCGAGCAGGGAGCCCGATGTGGGACTCGATCCCGGGACTCCAGGCTCATGACCTGAGCCGAAGGCAGTCGCTTAACCAACTGAGCCACCCAGGCGCCCTTCTACTCACATTTCATTGGACAGAGAAACTCATATGGCCAAGCCTAATAATGTCAGCCGGAGAGGGTGGAGACTGATTTTTGAACAATAATACAATCTAATGGCAGTTCCACTTCCTCAAGACCTTACAGCTTGTGTCTTGGTATCTGTTGTCACTCAATGAAATCTGTGCCTGAATAGTACAGCCAGCAGCCATGCAACTTGACACAGCAGCTGTCAACTCCCTTCTGAGACCTTAGGCATTGGGACAGTAATTCTTTTATTTTTCCAAAGACCTCCTGGCATCCCAGAGATAAATAATAACCTCAGAAATGGTCACTGCTGTTACCAAGAACTATTTCCCCTTGCCTTGCTTTCCTCACTTCCACAACCTCCATGGATGCATGCTTCTTAGGATGCAAGTTGAACCACTGGTTCCCCCTTCTGGCCTTTGTGAAAAACTCACAAGTAATGTTATTACATATACTGTGCTGGTTCTTAAAAAAGCTAGTGTTTTTACTTTGAAGCTTCTCCTACCTAGCTCTTTTTATCAATTCTTGCTGTCACAAATTGAGGCTTATGCTCCCTAATGTTAACTGGGTTTTGTTTCTTTAAATTACATACTCCAACAATGTCTTATCCATTTTTATCTCCTCAGTGAGCTCAGCACTCTTACTCAGATTCTAATCTTTGTTGCAGTATTGAGTTCATTACTTTTGTGAATTGTGTTTTATTTCTTTTTTTTTTTTTTAAAGACTTTATTACTTATTTGTCAGAAAGAGAGAGAACACAAGCAGGGGGAAGTGGCAGGTAGAGGGAGAAGCAGGCTCCTCCCTGAGCAAGTAGCTCAATGCGGGACTCGATCCCAGGACCCCAGGATCATGACCTGAGCTGAAGGCAGATGCTTAACAGACTGAGCCACCCAGGCATCCCTTGTGTTTTATTTCTTAGTAAATTGGGCCAATCACAAGTTCTCTAGATTGTACCAGGTGTTTTATCTGTGGAATGGTTCAACTGTCAATTCTGATTTCTCTTTGCCTGCCTTTTTCCCTGGCTACCCATGTGACTCCATTGATAACCGTATTTTAAAAAAGTGTTTTAGAAAGGTGTGTATACTGTTATAGTAGATTAATGGATATCTTCATCGTGATACCCTTAAAGTGTATTTGATTATTATGTAGAATTGTTTACAGATTTGATAAAGTAGGGAATTCGATGTACTACTTAAACTTCAAAGTTAAGAAAGATTTCATTAAGCAGTAGCACTTGTAAATAAAGTATTTAAAACTTGTCTCCTACTAGACATTGTAAATATCTGAGTTGCTTGACCCTAGCTTTTATTTTATTTTGTTTTGTTTTTGACCCCAGCTTTTTTTTTTTTTTAAGATTTTATTTATTTACTTGACACACAGAGAGAGAGCATAAGCAGGAAAAGCAACAGGGGGAGGGGCAGAGGGAGAAGCAGGCTCCCCACTGAGCAAGGAGCCAGAGCCAGATGCAGATGCAGGGCTTGATCCCAGGACCCCGGATCACAACCCAAGCCAAAGGCAGACGCTTAACCAAATGAGCCACCCAGGTGCCCTGACCCTAGCTTTTAAAATAACAGTTTCAGAAGACAGCTTCCAAAATACTTTTTTTTTTTCCTTTTTCCTGTCCAGATCACAGGAGACCCCTGGAGATGGGCAGCCTCCAGCTTTACCACCCAAACAATCAAAGAAAAACAGTTGGAACCAAATTCATTATTCACATTCTCAACAAGATCTGGAAAACCATATTAACGAAACATTTGATGTTCCATCGTCCCCTGAAAAATCTACTGTAAGTAGCTTTCAGATATTCTCACATTTCTTTGAAATGTTTTAATCGGAAGTTAAGTTTTTTTATACTGTGATATGTTTTGTCTGTAAATTATATTATTGTACTTTCCCTTTTTCATCATATGTTCATGAATTTTGCCATGATATAACCCAATTGTGGAATTTCCTTTTATCATTGCTCTAAAAGTTCATTCTTGACAAATTTATGTTGATTTTAGTCTTGCAAAACACACATTTTTAGAAAAATGCTAATAATGCATTGAATACCACTAACTTTGTAATTCTCTGGATGCGAGACTATCATTTTCATCAATCTTTTGAAATTGAGTACAGGTCCCTGGAGTATATGATCAGTCTCTGTTTTATAAAATATATTTATGAATTATGTTGGTATTTTTCCTTTAGAGAACATGCTTTTATCACAACAAAATGGTAAATTTTTAGAAATCTCTGATTTTTGAGTTTTCATTGCTTTTTCAAGTAGATGTAAATAAACCAAAAGTGAGATTGTCAGTAAATTTTAGGGATACACTGTGTTCATGAAGAAGTATCAAGACAGACAAATATGGGCGTATTTCAGGAAACTTGAAGGGACATCAGGGTAAGGTGCAGGGAGTGAAGGGTCCACAGCAGCAGGTATTGGCAATACTAAAAGTTTCTTGTGAGCATTGCTCTCATAGCCCTCTTGTATGAAAAGCAAGAGGCAGCCACTCTCTTCTCCCACACTTACTATTCCACCACCACAAACACGTCAAAAAAAGATCAGAATCCTTACCAAAAATTAACAACAACTGTGATGTTACCTGTGTTGTGATTCTCATGTATCATTCATTGGTTCATAGTCATTGAGGTCTTTCTGTTACGGCGTACTTTGGAGGGTAGTGGGAATATAAAGACAAATAAGACATGGTCCCTGCTGTTAATCTACAATCTAATTTATTTGTCCATTCATGCAAAAATTAATTACTGAGTACCTGCTATGTGCCATGCATTATTATAGGCGCTGGGGATATAGTGGAATAAAAAGGGGGAAAAAAACGCAAAAAACTCTACCTTCAAGGAACTTACATTCTGGGGGTAAGGGTGAGACAAACAGTAAACAAGGTAAATAATTTAAATATATAGGGGCGCCTGGGTGGCTCAGTTGGTTAAGCGACTGCCTTCGGCTCAGGTCATGATCCTGGAGTCCC